ACAAGAAGCTACTAGGAACAAGTGCATCGCTACTAGTAACAAGTGCCGCCTTACTAGTAGTAACAAGAAGCCATTGGTTAATTTAGTCAAAAACTCCGACATCGGGCCTTGGGACGAGAGAGCCTCCGCAGCGGGTTCGCGCTCACAGGACGGCTGTTGACCGTGCTCGGCACCTCCTGAGTGTGCTCGTCACCGTGGTCCGTGGGTCAGTGGAAGAGAACTACCAGCTACTGACTATACGATGTACGTACGCAAGATCGACTAGTCATGTCACATCGTCTCAAGAAACATATACAAACAAAAAAAAGATACAACATACTACTATACCATATCCATACCCCATGGCAGTCAAGTCTTGTCAAGAAAAATACAGCTTGCACACAACAACGCTCGAATCAGCTTTACCCCGTCAAATGCCAGGTACCACGCGGGGCGCAACGAACGGTTGAAGAAGTCTCGTTCATCCCCTCGTTCCACCATGGCCAGTTGAACTGTCTCCGGAACAAGTCTGAAGCTGCCTGGAACGAACAAAAAACCACCTGCTTCAAAAGCATTCGAAAGGGACGTTGTTCTGAGCTTGCTCAATTTGGGACTCAAAACAAAAGGGGTCGATGCCTGTGTTTAACAACCTCTTAGCAAGTTTCTACATCTTAGATTGGTCTACATCCCCATCTTCGGAACCCGACAACCACACGAACGCCACCGATTTTTGTAGGTAGACCACTGGTAGACCTGTTCTCCTATCCTGAAGCCGAAACAGGCTTCCCTTTCTGGGTCGATGTTCTACCCCGGTGCACTAGCCCAGACTCGGCGTCTGGCCCGTCCCGATTCGTGAGTCGTTCGGGCAAGCGGAGGCCGGTGGAGCGCTGCAGACGTGCGTGGGACGAGCGCTGAGCGAACTGCCGCGAACTCGCACGAACTGGAAGGCTAGGGGCCCCCCTTTCACGGGCGAGGTCGACAGCGACAGCGAAGCCGAATGATTTGGGAGACTCCTTCCAAACGATGAGATCGCAGGAATGATTTGGGTGTATATATGTTCAATTAGGGAAAACCTCCAAACCTGGAAGAGGTAAAAAAGACCAGTCTACCCAATCATGCTTGGGGGCCCTTCCTATTCAAAAACACCCGCATTTGGAGTGATCGAGAATTCAGGGACCAGGAACTTAGGGTTCTAAGGACTTGTCATGAGAATCATTCCCGTGGCACACTATATTCTGAAATTGATCTTCCAAAACCATGTCAACACAATGGTTGACCTGGTCTTGTCGTGGAAAAACAACACCGTTATAGTATATAATTAAAACCATCCGAACACCCCCCGTTCTAGGCCACGTTGCTTGAAATTTAGAATCCTATAGGCGGTAGGAGCGCTTGATTCGCGTGCTGGAGCGCTCGAGTGCCCAGCGCAGGCGCCCGCGCCCACGCGTGAGCGACGTCCAAGTGGCACTCGCCACGATACTATTGCTCTGTGCATCAAAAGGCGGCACTGTGCCCTTCCGGGACTCGCAGAACTCCTGCGGAGCGCGCTGAGCGGAGCAGTCGGAGGAGCTTCGCACATGTCCACAGTGACAGCAGTAAAACCCACAGACAGCATCTCTCACTTCAGCCAAGGCAAAAAACAACAGCCCTGTGGGAGTGGGTCAAAACCTGGAGCTTCGTTTCCCCTGCTATTCTCTTCATGGTCAACCAGGGTGTCACGGTTTTGACCCGCAGCCCATGCCTTCCTCCCAAAGCTGCTTGGTTGATGGCTGTGACATGACACCTACACAGATCTTCCAAAGGTCCGCTCACCGGGTAGGTCTTCCCATAGTGCCCATAGTGCTCACATTCCGTGACAGCAAAGCTGAACTTGACCACTCCTAGACTGTGTGGATGATGCAGGTCCCCTAAACCATCGTCTATATTTATAATCTATAATTATAACATACTCAGAGTATATAATATATAAGATATCTTTCATCCTTCCAATAGTGAATAGTGACGTTGATGACCACGCCAACGACTAGGATGAGGATGATCATGAGGAGAGTGGTCCAGAAGCCTCACCATAACCGCCACCGTTCCAACAACACACAAGAACTATAAAGGTCCTGCAGTGACGTGTTGCAGGGTGGGGCTCCCCGGCCTGCAAATATGCCGCAATCTTTGCAAATACAGCAAGAACAACACGTCAGATCCATCATTCGCCAGAGATCTTACACTCCCTGGAATCCTCACATGGTTACGTGGAGGGCCCCGAAAGGAAGACCATCCACTACGAACAGGTGGTGAACTCCAGGTAACCATGTTAGTTACAGGGAGAGTAATCCTTTGCGATTGCCAGGGAGTGAGCCGTGTGGGTGTCACTCTTGGCATCCTGGCATCCTTGCTGGTGGCAAGCACTTGCCATACAAACTCGCGCAGCATCTGAGATTTGCTGTCCAGAAAGCAGGGGTAAAGGTATGAAACATCTTCCCCATATGGATACACTCAGTTCCCGAGAATTCGCAACAAATCACCTGATCAGGCCAAAGCAATCAATCCATTGACCTCCGGGACCTCCGTGACGGACATCCGTCCTTCTCGATGTTTAGGGATGTTTGCTTCAACTCACCCAGCGATGTTTGGAAGAAACACGCGAATCGCTCGCTGAAAGAAACACATCGCTGAAGAACCGGGTCCTTCATATCCTTCATCCTGAGGATGGCCTTGGGATGGCTGCTCGAATGGAAGGTGCTAGGGCATGCTTAAGCATGGAAAAACCGAGGACGCTTTCGGGCGTCGCATGTATCGGCGCTGCGGCATGGCGTCCATCAGGACGCCAAACATTGGTGCCGGTCCACTGAAGTTGCGATTCGTCCTACCCAAAACAGAGTTTCTGGTAGTGCGTTTTGCTCAAAATAAAGCAGAAACTATGAGTTCATCGAAAGCATCACTGTGAGTGTCTTGACATGGTTTCCGATAGTCCAGTTATGTCCAGTTCATATCATGGTGCCTATGGCAAACACTACATCATGTATGGAATACTTACATACATTTGGGTGGGGTTTTCAAATGGCTTCATGTAGGTATATATGTCGTTATATGCCAGTCCCATTGTGTCTGGGTATACTTGCCTAATTATGGTGAAACGCTTCCGACGTCAAGGGTGAGTCTCGGACGTCTGACTCCTTCCTGAGCTCCCGGGCGATGGCTTCTCGCGTGTTTTGCAGAGTGTCGGAGCACTGCTTGACCAATCCTTCGCACAAAATCCCGATGTGAAGAAAAGCCGCGAACCCTTCTTCGGTGACCTGGTGTGAAGACCGTTTCAACGCAAACTCAAACTAAGACCAATCATTTGGCTTGTGCAGAAACAAGACCCATATGATTCATTGTATTTGTTTGAACTGTGAAACCATTTCCCAGACGCCCATTTCACAGTTCACCCCCGACAGTAGATGAAACATGAACGACATCCACACCCAGTGGATCCCATGTCATACTGTATTGGGTCTATCCTATTGCCGGGCCTTGTTCAGTTGCAGGCCTTGTTCAAAAGTAGTGATTTGCTTGTTTGCTGTATTACTGACTGTTACAGGTAATCATAGGAGGTCCTAGTAGGACAGACTCATATAATATGATATATACAGTATATATTGATTTGATGTGGTTTGCCTGGATCCCCTCGGACAGGTACTCTTCTGGCGCCACAGGAAGAGTACCACTCTTCTCTTCCATGTCTTGAAGCTCGCGGTTTTTTGTCGCACCGCGCTCATGCTTTGCTTGTTGTTCAAAACAAACACGTGCATATAATAATATATGACGTGTATACTCGAATATACACATAGGTCCATTTGTCAAAAAAAATCAGACATGTATTTGTTGTGTTAAAACACCATACGTACCATACAATTATCACGTATCGTATAGTCAAATTAATCTGGAGGGTTTCCAGGGTCGTTGTCCAACATTCCACAGCAACATGTTTTACTCTGCACGTTCTCCCATTGAACATTGGACACAAATACATTCATCTGCCATTTCAAGGAACATGTTGATACATTTCAGGTGTATTCATCCACCCATCCATCCACATCATGTATTCATCCATGTATTCACCACATCCATCCTTATTTCACCACATGTATTCATCCATCCATCTCACCCCATCTCACCCAAGTCCGCTGGGATTCCGGACGGCCCAGCTCGAGGATTCCAGTGCTGCGGGTGGTCGCTTTCAGAATTCCATCACAGAACTCTTCAACACCTTGGTGATGGAAACGGACACATGGGCGCTTGGCCAATGGCTTTGGGTAGGATATGCTAGGACGTTTGATCGTCGAGTGGATGATACAACATCGAGGTCACTCAGGTCCTAGGTGATAGTCAAGGATTGGTGGATGAGTAGCTTCCCACCCTCCAGGTCTCCACTGGACCTGCGGACCTGCGGGTCCGTACCACGTCGTTCGGATCACATGGCGTGGCCGGCTTCATCCGTAGATGGAATACATGGAGCGTCTGGGAACATGTTGAGAGCTTGAAATTCGAACAGCACTCCGTCTGTACATGCTGAACGAGTCTTCATGTTCATGACCTGTTGGAAGGTCTTGGTGGTGTACGACATGGTGAAATGGCAACTTCAAGAGTTGGTTGCTGACCTCTTGGAGGATGCTGACAAACTCTTGGTTCATCAAGCCCCCAGACATGAATTCAAAAAGCCTCTGCAAGATGGGGGGTTAAAATGATAGAATCAAGAGTCGACGCTCCGTGTAGGCAAATATCGCCTCCATTTGGGTGCTTTCAGTGGTTAAGGTAGTGCATAATCGATCAACTGTACATGGAGCCATTTATATAGACACGTTAGCCCTCTTCGGGGGGTTTTGAGGCTCTCCGAAATAGCCTGAACGAATGTCTGCTCCTGCTGAGTCACCATGCGACGCGTGGAGAGGTCGCGCGTCTCGCGTCTGCCGTGTCTGGGGGATGGTACCTGGAGAGCCCTGGTCCGGTCCATTTGCACATGACCGGTCCACACAGGCGGGTCAACCTCCAACGCCATCACCCACAGAGAAACAGCATTTGGAGGAGGTTGACCCATTCTGCGATCCCAAGTCTTCGAAATAGCACGGGCCAATGGCACTGAGGAAGAATCCACTTAGTTGAATCCCACAGTGCCTTCTGAGGAAGGTGCCTTCTGCTCAGTTAGACCAAGACCGAAAAACGGCATGCTTTCCCAAAGCCCCCGGTGCCCTATAAAGGAAGGAATGTACCGCATCTCCGCCCACGTCTCCGCGCGCGTCTCGCTACTGCCGCGCGCTGAGCGTCCAATGGTTCCACCACCATCATAGTCCAACATGTCGAAAAGCTCCCTGCGAGTCGAGGTGGACGCCTTGAACTAAGGAAACCACCTGGAGTCTCAGTTTGTACCTCGGAAAAAAAAGGCTACACCGGTACATTGCAAACGCTCCAAACAGTTTGTGGTCCCGAACCAAACCGATCGGGATTGGTGAGAAACCCCAGACCCCTTTTTTGATTCGGGTCCGACCCCTCCAGAGAAGCACGGGGCCGGGTCCAGACCCCTCCTCTGGGCACATGTGATGCGTCTGGTACCATGGAATCCGGTGCTTCTCAGTCCGTCGGTTCCACCGGGAGCGACAACAAAGGGTTCAGGCCACCGTGCGTAGCTTCGAGCTAGCTAGCTTCTTGTTCCGAAGAAGTAGCGATATGGCCTCTACCAACGCGATGGCCTCCACCAAAGATTCTGAGGCGTCCTTGCTCCATGCCACCGAAGCAAAGGGTTCAAGATGAGCCAGGTATCTCTTAAACAACTGAATATCTCCAAGGGGCAACAGTGTGACAAACTGAGCATGTGTTTGTTTGGCAAAACCCAATCCCTCGGTGGGGCAAGTTATCTTTCATGGACGAAAAGCAACTCCCCGCTACTGCCGCTCTGGTACTCTGAGACCGTCTTTTGTGAGAGGTCCTGGAAATATTTCTCAGAAAGAGGATGAGTGTGATTTTCCCGCCTTCCCAAACTAGCTGATTGCTATGTGCCAACTGAATGAATCCGAATTCACATCGCCCAGGAACCGGAAAGAGAACCTAACCACGTGCCAAAACCTCAGACCGGAGACCCAGTGGAGAGCCCCGAAAACCCGGAGGATGACCGGACTTCGGCTCGCTCGGTCCGCTTCTTCTTCGGGGTGTTTGCAACAACCGTGGTCCCAACACCGACCGCCAGCGAACGCATCGAAATCGCCTGAGATCATCTGTTGCCACAATTTCCTGGCAACTTCCAGCCGTACATCGGGTGCGGTTCAGAACTCTGACGGGAGAGCAAACGGTGGACTGTCGGATGGGAGTTACGGCCACACGCGAAAATGCCGGATGATCACGGCTCTTGACATGTCAAACGAAAGGTGTCAATTGAATGATTCAATGAAAGAATGAATAACATAAGAACAAATAAAGGAATATAAAGGGGTGTTCCAAAGAATCACAAAAGGAACTTCTATGTGCTATGAAGCTTGATGGACTCCTGACTTGCTGCAGTTCTTGCCTGAAACACTATGATTTTGGGTCAATGGTCACTTGTGCTTTCCATGTATGGAACAACCATATATACTGGGGTTTACGGTTTAGCGGCAAGCTCCTGACCGCCAGAACAAGCTTTGTTGTGAGATGTTTTGACTGAATTAGGTCGAATCCCGATCCAAGAATCGACGATCAATCCACCGTTGGGTTTGCGGCAACGGCGGCAAGTCTCCAGGCGCTCATCCGGACCGGGGGAATTGGGGCGATGCCACAGTTTACGGGGGGGGTAGGAAGCTACTAGGAACAAGTGCATCGCTACTAGTAACAAATGCCTTACTAGTAGTAACAAAAATCTATTGGAAACAAGTGCCTTACTAGTAGTAACAAGTGCCTTACTAGTAGTAACAATAAGAATGTAATTAGAATTGTAATTACTAGCAAAGGAATCATGATTGTTCCTGGGAGTGTACGTGTAACTTGTGTATATCCTGGATGATGATGGTTCAGTTGGAGGCCTTTCTAAAAATAGCACTCTGTGGCTGCGACTGCTACTGGCACTCTACATGTAACCGACTCCTATAACAGGACACAAAGGGATCTGATTTTCGCACAAAGGCACGACGTTCCGCGCGCGTGGAGTTCGGAACGACCGGTGTGCACCCTGGTCTGTGTGTGTGTGTCACATGTGTGTCACGTGCCTTGAGCTGCTGTTGTGTTTCCTCCGGCGCATTGTTGATCTCATCCATGGTCAATTCCCCTGAGCCATCCTGAAACCAAAAGCTCGGCTCCGATTCACGATCCCATATACATATATATATATATACACCGATTCAGTAATGTTTGTATTATATATACTCAAATACCTTGCTGTAAATATAAGTATACCAGCAGTCACAAGACGGGGTGCGATCCATGGAGGTTAGGGGTGGCCGGGTGGCCATTATCCACTCACTTAGGGACTAAACACCACCCCTTTGTGACTCCTGGTAATTATTGTGTATACATTTGAGCCATTCTGAGGGATTCAATACCTCGACTTTCCCGATCCGTTCAAACGGATCTATCAATGTCGACATGTTGCGAGATATTCGTCCTACAAAGAACATCAACAAACACCAGGGACAACCTGGATATTCATCCTAGATGTATTGTATACACAGCTAGAACCTAAGTGAGCCCTGTGTCGGAGCCTGTTCACTTGGCCTTTTACTATGAAAGCAAAGTTTCATGTCTGGGATCTAGCAAAATCTCTACACTCTTCCACATCTGATATTCCCCATTCATCACCACCCGTTGGAGATTCACTTGCAACCATCTACCCTAGATCCGGGCCTTCTCCCATCGCAGGGGTCAGGCCTGAGAACCCTCCATCGCAGCGATGCGGACCCAGTTCCCACAGGTTTTGTGTTGGTTCGGGCCCAAATTCTTAGACCTTTCATACCCAGACACTCCATGCATATATGCCGAGTTTCACGGCCAGGGGTGATGGGTTTGGGGTGGCTTTTTCTCGGCAGTCCGGCAGTCCCAGACAGGTCGCGTCTGGGATAGAACCTAAGTAGTGACCGAAAAAGGCGGCATCTCAAAGGGTGGGTCCCATCTACCCGGTCATCGGTCGACCCCCAAGACCACTCACCCCAACCGAAACGGAGGTGGGCCAGGAGCCCAAATGGAATATATTACTATATATGCCTTAATTAGAAGTATATTTTAATATAACATGGACCCTGCAACAGGTCTCCGAAATGCTGGCTTTTGCATAATTTAAAGTCGATAGAATAGATTTCCATACATTATGTATATTATATATTGATCAACATACGGAGACTGATCGATTGCACTCGACCATCTGACAAGCAAAGCCGGAGTTGTTGCGCCTCGTCCAGCGTCAAGAACATGGCCTTCAAATGGTCTATCCTTGGGCACCAAACATCCAAACACTCCGAGAGTGAGAGACCTCCCCTTCGCCGTGTTGTTGTTCTTTCTTGAACCCGCACCAAGCGGGTCAGGATGGTTGATGGTGTTGGATGGTTTTGGTGTACCAAATGGACCCCCAAACAGGTGACGCAGCTGATCCACGTACGAGGACGCTGAGGATATGTAAGGACCGTACGCCACTCTCAGCCGACAGTGGGCATGGGCCAAAGGTACAAAACCGACTTCAAGGAGTGGTTGGTCACCACCCAACCACGAGGGTACTATATGGCTTGTGGAGCTGCAGCATTGCTCCGTTCGAGCGATGCCCTGTGTTCCTAGCTTCTTGCTCCTAGTAGTAATGCCAGGAGCTACGTTCGTAGCGTCTTAGCTCCGTTCGTAGCGATGGCCTCCAACCTAACCCACCCTAAGAATCCGGGCCCTCTCCAACAACATGGGGCTTTGCTTCATTTCCGTTTTCCCCCTGCTCCGCGACCATGGAGCGACCATTCGAATACGACCTCGTGTTGTAGTGTAACACCCATATTATAAAACCATGGTTGTTTATGGCCTTGTTTATGGCAGTCAGACTATTCCAATGGTTGGCCAGGATGGTGCATGATGCGACCGAAGAAGGTGCGAGGAGATGCGGGCCAACCAATGTGCTTCCATGACACATCGGTCTGAGACTGGACATGAAACCAACAAAAAACACCTCGGTCTCAGCTCATAGAGATAACTCACTCATAACTGCTGGAAGTGGCAGTGGCACCTTGCCACAAGAGTGGTGAACACCTACTAGCTTCTGGTTACTAGTAGTAAATTAGCTACTAGAAGCGATGCCAGGAGCCCCGATCGTAGCGTCCTTGCCCCTAGTAGTAAGGCCAGGAACACCTAGTAGCTTCTTGTTACTAGTCATGTGGTTTTCACGGTTGTGTGATGTTGGGTGTGTTTTTTAACAATCAGCTTCAACGGTCAGAGCTCTCAGCCAGTCCCAGAAGTCAGACATCTGCAGCATCGATGTCCTGTCAATCACCGGGATTACCCCAAACACTCACTCCGGGCTGGCATATTTACATTCGGGCTACTGTAGTAAATTTAAATGGCAACATAGTGGCAGTTGTTTTTCTTTAAACTTGCTTGGTTTACGCATGTTTACACCATGCTCAATTGGTTGATTCCGTGAATGTCTATGCCAATCCCCGACGTCCACTGAGATTGGAAAGACGTTCACATGTTTCTTTGACGCCACAGCTTCGCCCCTACTAGCGATGGCCTCCACCCTAGTAGCGACCACCCGGCCCAAAACCATCCAAAAAGCTTCCACTCAGAACCGTCCATCCCACCACCCACTGCTTGGAACACCGCCCGTCTTCGCTCTATCACTGTCAAGGCTCTGTTTGGCCCTCCGAGCAGATTCCCAGGCCTTCAGAGCCTCTTTATCTTGGGTCGCTTGGTCCAAGGAGCTATTCACCATCACCGCTGTGACCTGGATCCATGCCACTGCCCCGATCCGCGTGCGGCCCCGATCAAGAGCACCGAAAGGAGGGGCCGATCAGGTCTTGGGGCGCGGCTCATTGACAAGGAGTCTTTCTGGGGCGACATCTGTTCCACCCAGACGCGACCCGAGACCAGGCCCGAATCCTGGAGGGGTCTGGGATCTCAAATCGGTGGCTGAGGGACCAGGAAAGGGCTGTTTTCAGCGTCTGGGCCGTCCCAAACAGGTCGTGGGTATTGGGTACCGGGGTCTGGCCGCTTCGGTGCGGGGTGCTTTTTTGGCGCGTGCGCGGGCGCTAGCGGGCGTGGTCGCTTCATGGCCTTTGCAAGACTTCCATGCAATCGTTAGGGAGCCACTGAAGACTATTAGTTCACTTCACGAATTGGAATTGGAATCAATCGATTGTTTAAGTATCATTGTTTTAAGAACGAGTTCATTGGTCAGATCTTGTTTATTTGGAGTGACTGCGGGTTGCTTCAGCCATCTTCAGCCCATACCAGTACCTCACTCGATCTATTCAAACATATTCAAACCAAAACTATCCCAAACACTCCATGGGACTGGTGTATGCCTACATTGACCCCTGAAATCAACCACCTCCAATGTATGTAAAGCCAGTCCCAAACAGGTCATGTGTGGAAAAAAAACATAAAAACATCCCGACCACAGAACAATCAGAATACATATCCCATACACTCCATGGGACTGCCAGTCCGGACTGCCGATCAGGCCAGGGATGGTGCCAGCGGGGGTCTGGCTTGATCGGCATATATATGGCAGTCCCATGGGTCGCATCTGGGTATTGACTGATACCCGCAGAACCTTTATCCAGTCCTTGAGGGCTGGACGCCTTGGATGTCGATGTCATTCTGCTTGGTCCTATGAGGTCCTATACGTCACACAATTAAAATTGGGGTGGTTGATTGAAAAGCGATCAATGTGGGTAGATCTGCCAATCCAACGGAGTGTCTGGGTAGAAAAGAACACATATCTCCACACAACTCCATGTTTTTCAGGCTCACAAGTCTCTCTCGCAGGTCAATCGCGAGGAAAACAAGGCGCCAAATTCATCAGAGCGATCGAGAGAAGCAGCAACACGGAGATGAAGTAGAACACCCTCAATGCGGCGGACAGCTGGACCCAACGATTTGGCTTGTTTGGAAGTGGGGAAAAAACCGACGAACAGACCTTTCATCTTCCGTGAAACGGACGGACCCGACTGACCTGTTCGGTTCCGAAAATGGGACGTCTGACCGGTAGGAAAAAAAGGGGTACGACTGGCACGTCCCCAGTCCGTTCCAAGGTACGAATTCCGGGTCGACTCCAGATGACTCCAGTTCGGGATCAAAAACCGTAGAAACCTGGAGTATATTTCTTGTTTCTAATAGCTTAACTTGTTACCACTAGTAAGGCACTTGTTACTAGTAGCGATGCACTTGTTCCTAGTAGCTTATTAATTCAAGCTGGAGTATACAATAGTATACAGCTTTCTCACAAAGGGTCAAACGGGTCGACTCCAGTCTCAGTCGAACCCTAAACTTGAGCAGGGCGGGCCAGCCCGAACACCCCAGCGTCTCGGGTCGCGACTCCAGTCTCGTCTCTCTTCTTCACCAGTACCACAGGCACCGGGTCGGACGTCGACTTCGACCCCATAGGCCCCAATGGGACGGACCCGGAACAGCAAGGTAGCCCAGTGATCCACCCCCCCATTGGCCGCCCAGAGGCGAGTTCACCCCCCAAAACCGGGGAACATCACCAATCCAGGTTTGGGAGTCGGCGGAGAGCTCCAGGCTTCGGTGCCGGGCGTTTGGCGCGTCCGTCCGACGCGACGTGTCCGACACCACCGGAAAGAAGCCCAGCCGTAGACCTGTCCCAAACACTCCATGGATGGAAGATATTCACCTATATTGGGGCTGGTTTCACGGGTCAATGTAAAATAATTCGGTGTAATATATGTAATTAGTAAGTATACATGTAAGTACATATATGCCGTACCCAAAGGATTCCAGTCATATAAGGAACCAGGACTTTGAGGTTTGTTGATTTAGTCGAACTGGAACCACTGGTTACCGGCGAACTAGTGCTGGCATGACGGTGGTTATAGTGGATGATGAGGACGACAACGACAACGACAACGATGATGATCATTATGATGATGGTTAGTAAAGGGATGATGGTTCAGTTGCAGGCCTTTCTCTAAAATAGTGATTTGCCGACTCTGCACAGGTCCGATCATAGGACACCCCCAAGGTATATGTGTATGCCATGCATAGAGTGTCTGGGAATCTGGCTGCTCCCACTGATGAACGAAAGCGGCGCGTACGAGCGCGGTGAACATCCACACGAAGGATGAATTCTGTGAACACATGTGGATGGATACCCTTCCTCCTACATCCTCCTACAAACGCATCTGGCTCCACTGCTGGCGGGCAGCATCACGAAGTTGTGCTTGACGATCGGCTTATAGATCGCGCCGATACTGTCTAAGCCTCTTGAACACACGCGAAAACAGGAGCACCGGTGAAATACGTGTCTTTCTCAGGATCCACATGTCACCCTCCTATGGAAGGTGTGTTTGACATGGATGTAGGCAGTCACCAGGAGGGTCCAGGAGTCCAGGAGCTACTTGGATCCCTAGGGATGTTGAATCTCATTTCTGAAATCTGCAGAACACTTGGGGCCATCGTCCATGTGCAACAATGGACTTTGTGAGGTAAATCTGTGAGGAAAGTCGAGGTGTTGCTGAAGCCATGCATCACTGCTCAGTCGTGGTCGTAGGGAATTGAATCTGACAATTGAGTAATAGAGGATGATACTGGCGGATGGGTGTCCCTACATAGTTATGTGGATGGATCTTTTTCCCACATATGCAATCAAGTTTTGATGCACCTTATCAACATGCACCACGTCCAAAGTCCAAACACAAATCATCAGCATTGGGATTGGTGTGAGTAAAAACCCTTGGAACCCAAGAGACATGGTCCGACATGCTCCGACCCAAAATGTGACAACATGGTCCAACCAACCGTTCAACCCAAGGTTTCAAAAACTTCCACGAGGTTTCAGAAACACATGACGCAGGAGCTGTCAGATCCATCTCTCTTCGTTTTTATACCCTCGCTGGAATCATCATGGTCACGTGGATGGCATGGCCCGGTGTAGGTAGACCATGTTCCAAAGACCAAACAGGTGGTGCCACCCACTTCCAGGGAGTGTACATGTCCATGAGGTGGACCATAAGAGGTCATGAGGCGCACAAAGACCCATGCAAGACATCTGACACCCTGCTAAGCCTTGGTGATCTCAAGTTTCTGTCAAATAACGCTGTGAAACCCAAAGCCCTAAACAACGATAGGTTGACCTCCGCAGTAGTCTAGTCTGTTCATTTTCAGTGGTAAACCGTCCTCCGGTTTTGACCCACATCGCCCTGCGAGAGAGAGAGAGAGAGAGAGAACATGCTTGCACATACCGCCCATCTGTGGCCCAGAAGCTAAAAATCTGCAGCAATGTCATGATGGCGTCCATAAAGTCAGCAAAGTTGTTACCTTCAATCAAGGTGAAAGTGTCTACCACAGGCTTCACCATTGAATATATAGTTTTTGATTTGCAAAGAGGTTTCCTACCCACCAGGTGCTGCTTGCTAAAGTCCCACAGATTGGGCCCCTAAACTCCAAATGGAGGAAGGAAGCGTTTGGGATCTGGAGTTCAAAAGACTTATAACTCTGGAGTTAATTCCTCTCCAAAAATCACGACTGAACATTGCTGAACTCCTTGGTAGATATTCCAAGGAAAACAATAGATTCCAAAGAGCAAACTCACTAGAACAATGACATCCTTGATTATTCTTCAGAGTTGATACAACAAATGAAAACAAACGCTTGAAAAAAAATCCAAACAATACAGGAAAACTAAACTCTGGACCCTGGAGGAAAGGACTGAACTCTGGAGTTAACTTCAAAGTACATGTATGTGACAAAAACTGAACTGTAAAATTTAGACCTTGAACTCGGAGACTCAGTCCTTTCGGAAGAGTCGGACGGGTTGAAGGAATGGAAAATGATTCCTGAAAAATGATCAGTTCCAAACTGTTGCAAATCTCTCCGAAATGAATGGCAAATCTCTCAAACATGGTCAGTTGCAAATCTCAGTGTGCAAAAACACATACACGCGTATACCGTATACACGTGCATGTTCACGTTCCTTTGATTTCTTCGGACATGGCCAGGACACATGGCCATTGCTGATGGTGTAAAACTGTCCATGAGGCCTTTAACAGAGATCATCATATTACCCCTGTTCCTGGGTACATCCCGGAAACATATGAACATCGCCGAGCATAGCTCTGGAGACGAATTCGATCCAAACACATGGGAGTTATTCTGCACGCAGAAGTTTCCTCCACGTCGTCGACTAAGACCTATACATTATACATCACTGAATACTTTGTTCAGTGCCATGATACGTGGCCACCATGGTTAACCAGCTGGTGCGATATGAATTTGTTCAAGTGATTCTGCGGTACTTTGGTGCGAGTCACTCGTCTCATGAAGTCTTGAACAGGAAAACATGGTCATGGGCTGGTTCTGTGTATTGATGTGTTAAGCTTTGGTTGCTATATCCCACTACCAGGTTGCAGTTCCCCAGGTCGCCTTTGTGCAACCAGGTCGCCGGGGGACGTCTTGGTCCATTCTCACCACCGGATCAGTGTGGTTTTCATTTCGTGAGTTGAGCGATCCGTTTCAAGAACTGGGAAGGTTTCACCTTGCCCAAGCATTGACATCAGAGTCAACATTCATCTTTGATTTCTTATGGGAACTGCTCCACACGAAATCTTTCATAGTTCTCCACTCCTTGTCGCATTGTGCGCCCGCCAAACGCTCTCGAGCCGCGTAGAGGTCACTACAGGGATTCGCAGCTCGAGCTGGCCGTTCTGACGCAAGCGGCCTGTGACCATCACTGTAAATGGCTCTGTGACCACG